CTAAGTAAAGAAAATAGCAAAAAGTTTTACGCCAACAAATAGTTAAACTCTGTTTCAAAGTAAACACTTGGTTAATTAATTGCAGCGTTGACGATTATGCGCGACATTAATAAAATCACAGCAAACGCAATTGCAAGGAGATGAAAAATTACTGGAAATCTAATATAAAAGTAGAGAGAGGTTTTGGGCAGAAACTTACTGCGTTAAAAATAAAACTTTGGGTGTAACGAAAAAAATGATCCATCAAAAGTCTCAGCTGATGTGTAATACATATATGTAAGTACATATACAGTAGTATGGGGAAAAGGGCAAAGTGAAGTTCTATCTACCGCATACCGCCAGAACCAGAATTCGATTGGCGGTTCGAAGCATTTTCCCGTCTGCATCTGAATTCCAATATTTGGTAATTGAAGTGTCCACCTGATTCCAAAGGGAGCATTAGCCTTTGGAGCAGAGGTTTAATTGGACACCATTTGGACAAGAAAATAATTTCATCTACCTGACTTTGCAAGTGGTGCGCCTATTGAATCACACCAACACACACCATCTTCGCGAAAATCGCGTCACCCGATTTTCAAATAGCCGGGCTGCCATTTTGATCCTGGTCCTTTATAACTAAATCAAAAGTGGTTCAAAAATGCAGAAGCCTAATGAATAGCGTCTGCATGCGTCTAGCTCCGAAATTATTTCAAATATCCGAAGAAAAGCGATAATAGACCCTCAGGAGAAATTCTTGGACAGTATATCTAGTAGCGAAATTCATAGTCAAGATTAATTGGTTAGAACTGTGATATTTATGTACTGGAGTTATTCGTGAGATACATAAAATAAAGGTAACCATAATCATCTTCAAGAATCCCATTCTGCCTGCGAAAAGATCGCGCACTCACTATGTATATTTTGGATCGAATTTGGAAGGATTTGACATCAGATGAGCTGTTATCCTTAGATTCCATTTCTGGCATACTTAAATTCATCAATTTGCCCACTATGCTATTTATATCGATAAGGATTAAGTCTGCACTGTCCTGTTACAATCAACAAGATGTCGTTTGTGGTTCATTCTTGCGACAAGGTGAGCAGTTGATGTATTTTGGAAGGAATTCCCATCATCTATTGACAAATTTTGTTTGAAGATAAACCGGTACCATCTTCAGAAACAAGGAAACTTCGCGAATCCGAGACCCGAACCAACTTGTTATCGATGTGCTATCTATGTAATTATAGAAGGGCAGTTTTAGAAAGAAGAAAAGGCGCACAAGACAGAGGATACTGATATTGATAACGATATCAAATGGCGTTGAAGATTAATAAATTAATCGAAAATCTATCACTGGATAAATTTGTCGATAATCATATAAGCAATGGTAAGGATTTTAAAATCAAATAAATCGATAACTATATCGATAAATGCCTCAAGGAGGACATAGATATTGAAATCCATATAACATAACGATATCAGATAATGCGCTGAATAATTTATCCAAAAAGATACGTCTATAGCGAGATCTGCGGATATATCGAATGTATTCAATAAAAAATCGATAGTAAGTTCATCGCTAAATACATCATCTAATACATCAGCAAAAATAAGAACATCGATAGCGAGATCTACAAAACAATTTCGACAACGGTAATATAAACACATGAAATATTAAATTAATGGCACCTATATTCTAGAATCTAGACAATCAATATGCCCGTGAGTACAAAGGTTGAAAAATCGGTAAAACAAATGGTTTGTCAATCAAGATACATCGATAACGATATTGACAAATATATTCTTTAACGATAACAAAAACGTAAGACCTATTGTCAAAGAATTCAACCAAAAATGCCAGCTAGTATCGATAAATACCTCCATGATTGTACCGAAAAAGATACCAAAATCGGTACAAAATATTGGTAAGTATAACGGCTAATACTTCTATTACTTTACCAACAAATATCCGTAAGTACAAGAACTGAAAAAAACGATAGGTCGCTTAATACATAGATTATGACATCAACCGGAATACATCGATAACGATATATACAAATACGATAACGATATGCATACACCAATAATGATATTGACAAATATCTCGAAACCAAATCCCGATAGCAGTAACATAACCGCGTGAAAATTATAAAAAGAATACAGCAATTAACTTATATCGACAAATACTTCGATAATGTTGTCGATGATAAAAGATACTGATAATGAAATTGATACCATATAGCGGTACGATTGACAAATAATCCATCTATTATTTTATCAATAAATATATGGATAGAAATAACACTTAATTTATAAATTGTTATCGATGGGCATATCAGAAATGCATAGCTATTCAACAATTTTTAATGAGCTTGAGGCCGTTTTTAATGAAAAACTTATTGTGGAAAACCAACAATAATGTGAAGAAATGGTAGAAGTGATAGCTATTTTGGAAATCACCACATTTCCTCATCAGACTAGGCTAAATATATGGAAACAAATTTAGTTGTGTGTTAATATTCAGAGAAAATAAGGTTATCTTAAACCACAAAGTATTTTCTTTGGAGAACATACTGCAAAACTCATAAATGTATGGTTTCAAAGTTTTGTGTTTTTCTTCTACCCAATCGCGATTTCCTTAAATTTATTGAACTTCATAAGTATCTCAAGATGCCTCATTATTTACTTATAAAACCATACGGCCGTCACATCACTCACATCCACTTAGAGAATGTAGAGGTCAATTAGGCACAACTCGACGTTAATGACCATAATTCACCACCACACATTGCATACTTTGCCCAAGTATACATATATATGTACAGTGTTTATCATAAATATAATATACGACACCAACGTGCTGACAAGTTTTGACTCTTAATTTTTTTTATTATTTTTTTTATACAAATATTGTTCATTCTGTAACAAAAAAAAAAACGTATGAATCGAAGTATCAAGCTTTGCACAAAATTGAAAAAAAATTGTCAATAGCTTCATCAAAATTTCACACTTTTTATTGAGAAGCTTAAGAAAGTTCTTAGGTATGCAGTTTTATAGTCCATTTAATTCTAGCATAAAAAAATACAAATTCTAAATCATTTTTGGCATTCCTTTTTTATTGACGGTGTTGTGAATTTTTCTCCATATAAAAAAAATATCGTGAGCAAATCTCAGGAGTTGTTATGTTTTTAGTGTCACTTCCTTCGCTCGCCAGAAAAAACGCTGAAGCATTCTTCTTGCATATATTTCAATCAATGCAGTTCCAGAAACAAGTAGTTACAATAAAAAATAAATCAAGTATTTGAACAATTTTAGCCTTAAAACACTTATTTTGGCGAAATTACTCATTTTTTCATTGTCACTCTAAAAAATTATAACTGTTTTTTTTTTAAGGTAAATTTTCACCAAGAATTTTCTTATTAGAGGCAATGAAAGTAGGCATCAAATACAGCATAACTGTGAAGTTTCAATTCGATGAAATCGCATCATATAAATCAAAAAGTGAATTTTGAATTTTTTATTAGTTATGTATTACTTTTTGCATTTCAACGATGATGCTTGTTACGTCTTTTTGTATTTCAGGTGACGATATACAACTACGGATATATGAGTACGAGTTGTTATTTTTTCTTCTTTTGGTGTATCATTTAATTACAATCTCGCGATGGAAAATATTTTTCATTATCTAGCATAAGTGTGCCACAACTCGTGCTCTTTCTTAAACTTCGTGCAGAAGAAAATGAATAACATTGTCATCAAAAGAATCACCAGAATTTAATGGACTATAAAACTCAATATCCAAAAATTTGTTTTTTTTTTTTTGTAACTCTGAATAAAATCAGTGAAATTTTAATGAAACTTTGTTGATTTTTACACATTTCTTTATAGAGTAAACTACAATTTTATTTAAAAAAATTATAAAAAGTAAAAAAGTAAGAGTCAAAGCTTGTCAATATGTGAGTGTCGTATAGTTAAGAAAAGCACTATACGTATATAAATTGTTGAAATTACCAACTTTGATTTGCTTTTGAATACCGATTTGTTGTTGGCTGCTGCATTTCTACTACTTTGGAATCGCAAATACATAAATTTATTCTTCTTTCATAGGAAATTGATGGATTTGATTTATTCAGCAAGCAGCAAGTTGCTACAAGCTGACCTTTTTCCCATTTTTTTCCATTTCTGCTCCCGTTTTAGCTTTATTGCCCGCCATGTTTGTTGCTGTGGCTTTAGAAGGCACACAAATTGCGATTTGCTCTGCCGGCAGGCGGAACAAATTACTACTAAAGTAGTGAAAAAAAACCTGCCGAAGTGAGCAAAAGGCCAGCAACTATATATGTACCTACATACATATGTATTTATGTATGTTTGTAGGTACATACAACCTCAACTTCACCTACAACCAGTAGAAGCACAAATATTTACATAGAGTTAGTAATAAAAAATGGAGTATCCACCTAGAACGAATGTTCTAGTTAATCGCAAGCTGTTGAAAGCTCGTAGACGGAATGCGGAAAAAATGACCAACCGTCAAGAGGAGGGGAAAGGAAAAGTACTAGGTAAATGCTACATAACGCCTGTCGGCATAGCTATTGAATGTAAATGGAGTTGTAAAGAAAAGCATTGCCACAAAATTAAAGAGCGTTTTTTTTTATTACTTAGTCGTCGGTTGTAAATAATCTCACAGTTTTTAACAAATATTTGTCCTTTTTAAGTTGTCGTCATTCATTTGATTCGATTTAAAATTTCTCGGCCACACCACTCTCGTATTCGCCTACGCTTCCTAAACTCACTGAATGGACAATAAAATTAATTGTGGTGCTAGAAAGTGTAGGAAACTGTACCAGATTTCTGAGCAATTTAACAAATTTTCCTTGCAATCCAACACCTTGTTGCATATTTTATTGGGAGCCGCGAAGTAAGTAAATGCTTTTGTGTTTCAAATGTGAAAAAGCGTAAAAATGTGTATACATACATACATACATATATTTAAATAATTTGTATAAAGGGAGACACTTACCAAGAGGATCACCCAGAAATGCATTTTGGTATCCATTATTTTTATCTGCATGATCGTAGAGTCATGGTTTGCGCTGAAAAAAAAAAATACAAATAAAATAAAGCAATTAATTTTAAAATTACATAACTGCATTTTGTATATACATAGTATGTATGCATACGTAAATAATAGTTAGCTTCAAATAGTTTTCTTGTTTTTTGATTTTTTTCATATACAAAATTAAAGGTAATTTTCTGCTTTATTTAAGCAAAGTATTCAATTGTATTATTAATTAGTACCTTTTTTGGTTAAAATATTTTTTTATAAAAAATTTTTATACGCGAAGTATAAAAATATGCATTTCAACGAAACCTAACTTTTTAAAAATTTATTTAAAAATTTCTTGAAATATCAGGCTTTTATTGTTTTGAACATCTGACTTTTGACCTCTTATAGCACTTGTAATATGAGTTCACACAAAAATGTTATGTACTGTTTAAATAAGAACAAAAGGCGGACTACGTCTCTATTTTTTCCTTTTTTAGTTGTCTACATTCACCGAAGGTCCAATTTGGAACTTCGAAGGCCAATATCTCGATTTCGGAGGCTAACTTCGAAAAACTGAGAAATCACGGTTTCAATTATGACTCAATCTCTTAAAAAAGTTGGTTTGTACAGTTTTACAATAAAATAATAATTTTTTTTAATTCTTGATAATTTCTTGATCACAATTAAAGATCATTTTATGATTTTTATTATTTATATAACTTAAAAGGCCATACAGACGCATACAACTAAAGCTTTGACCTGAAAACTTTAAGCCTTATTCCATTTAATATGTTGTAGGTTTATTTTAAGTTTCGTTAACAAAAAAAAAAAAAACGATCAAGATTCAGTTTACGCACGGTTATGCTTTAGCAAAGAATTCAGTTACAAATGAATGAGCTATTATACAAATAAGAAATACTAAATAATTCAAGAATAACAGAAACAAATTCACATTTAAATTCTATTGCATTTTGAATGCAATCTATGTAATTTGTTGGCTTTCTTCTGGCTTCTTCTTGGCGAAAGTTCAAGTGCGTGTTGAGGCTGCCGGCCACAAAAACAAATTCGACGAGAAAAAGCTAAATAAGAAATAACTATGGCAACAACAAATGCCATACAAAGTACTGAATTGAAAATCTTAAGATTTTCAGCAAGTGTAGTTGATTTTTTAATTTTTTATTTTTTAGTAGAACTTTACCTACGCTTGCCTCATTAAAAATGCAAAATTTCGAGCAAGAGAAGAGTGCAATGAAGAAATGCAAAATGCACTTATGGAAGCTAGAAGGAGAAATATTTTAGCGAAAAGGTAAACTTCGTTCAGGTCATGACTCGCCACTCGGCGGTCAGCAGTCAGCAGTCAGCGGTTGTCGGTTAGTGGAAAGCTTTTGACTATGCAAAATTTTAAGTTTGCTTATTAAAAACTTCTAATTATTTTGAAATGCCATAAAATTCGTGGAAGGAAACTAGGTGAAACTATTTCTTAACATTAGTTAAATAAGAGCATTTGGGGAAACTCAAATGTATGGACAAAGTATAAATAAAGTAAATTAATTGAGCAATGTACTACTTACTGCGTAGTTTTGTTACAATTTATTACATAGGGAAATTTTGCACCCGCTTCGCTGACTCGACTTTTAAAACAGGTGGCAACCTCCTTCGAAATATTTTCCTACTAAAACCCTATTAAATCCCTCTTGGCTGACGTCCATATTGTGATACATGTTCCAATTATTAAATTCCTTTAATTCAACAAAAATTTAATTTTTCAAATAGGTGGCAACTCTCCTACATGTAGCTTAGAACTAAAAACCTTATCAAGAACCTTTCGATTGATACTCATATTGTAGTAATTCATTTAAATTAAATTAATTTAATTTTTAAACGGGTGGTAACGCTTGCAAAATACTTCAGTAATATTTTAAATGTTCACTCTGAAGGTTTCTTAGCTATCATTCATTTGATACCCATATATAAATATTTCAGATAGCTTGCTAATAATTAATTTAAATTTGGCTTTTCGAAAAAGTGGCAACCCTTTCCAAAATATTTTCTTCTTTAATATAATTTTCAAATAAATAATTTGCTTAATTCAAGTCGAATTTGATTATTTAAACAGATGGCAGCCCTCTTCCGTGAGCATGGAATTGATTTTATATGCATTCATATATATATATATACCAAGTTCCTGTACTCCATCAAAAATATTTTCTGAGATATGATATGCAGTATGAAAATTCCTTTGATGGGAGGTGCCACGTCCCCTCGCATAATCGAGATTAAATCTATCCTATATTTTTAGTTGGGCTAAATGGCACCAGTGTACAAAATTTAATGGGAATCGGTTGTGTAGTTAAAGCGTGAAAGCGTAACAAATAAACAAACTCCCTTTCGGATTTATAATATTATAAAACGGGTCATTTATATTTTATATTGTAATTGTATCTGAAATTTTTCAAAATTTCTTTATATAATTCTCTTCTCATGGAGAAAATTTAAAATTTTTAATTTAAATCTTAACCAAAGATACTAAAAAAAAGATATAAAATATTCATACCAACATATCTGCAGTAAGATCAATTATTTTGTACATACACACAGAGAAAAAAGCACCTAATAAAATGGAACAAAACTAATAAGATATCTCTACGGTTTTTTGTTAAGAAGATATTCCTCATGCTTCCAGAGGGCAAATCCTTTTAACAAAACCAAAAAGAAATCTTTTGGTTTCTATAAGGTTGTCTAATTAAATTTTTTAAAATAGAAATTAAAAAAGGTTCACGCCGACCCGTCTTCGAACCCGTGACCTTCTGAATGGCAATTTATAGCTCTACCTACCCGGCTACGGTGGTCATCTAGCCGATGGTGTTCTATTGATTGATATGAATTTAATATAAATAAATTCAAGAAGTCATCGCATGAAAGTAAGAAGAAAACTTTTCAATAAATTCAAGAATACATCACATACAATTAAGAAGTAATTTTCATGAAGCACTATTACATTGGCTTGTTAAATATTTCCCGTAAGCATTAGCAGCGAGAACGTAAACACAAAATTGGGATAAAAAAAAAATAAAAATAAATCAATATACATACATACATACATATATGTATATAAAATAAAAAATAATAATAATAAAAAGAATAAAAAAGATAAAAAATAAAAAATAAGAAACTAGGTTCGTTTCACAGTATATGAACCCACGTCCAAAAAGTCGGCAGTCGTAGTCGCACCCGAAAAATACAACCTTCAATTCATTGTCAATTTTATTACAAATAAAATCAAGAAGAATTTACACATGAAATTAAAAATAAATCTCTAAGGAATTTTCTTGGTTTTTTTCGTCTAATTTACCCCTTAGCCCAGAAACGTTTCATAAAGACAATCCTCTTGCTTATATGTGTCATAAATTTCTCTGTGCATAAGTTCATTTTCAATGAAATATTTAAAAGTTTTATTCCGTCAAAAATTGTGAAATATTTATTGAGTTTTCTTCAGTGCTTTTACACGTTTGCGGACTTTTGTACAATATATTACACAAATTTGAAGTAGCCCTAATAGCTACCCAAAACAATTTTTGAATATTTTTTTTTTTTTACTTTTGGTATTATGAGGCTCTATGAACCTTGTAATTAAGAGGAAAAATGTTTATATTCATCAGGGACGGATTTGACCGGAAAGGGTTAAACAGGAATAAGCCAGGAAAACTTCGTAAAACACAAACTTTACTTTTATTTAGAGGTTGAGATGTGTATGAAATGAAAAATGCCAGTTTGCTCGATAATAAAAATCCAGTTTATTCGATATTCGAAAATAGTACAGTAATTCTGGCTCTAAATATATGTAGCTGCACTTGGAAAAAATTCTACATAGGATAAAAATCATACTACGCTGTTCACAAAACTATTTCAATCAAAATTGGATAATGTTGTGTCTCTAAATTTGACAGGCAATATCTTAAATTAATTAAAAACTATTGTAAAATATCGCATCGCTTCTATTAACACTGACGTAGAAATCGACAAATGTAGAAATATGCAAGAAGTGGTAGAAATTTATTGAAACATTACTCCAACAAGGACTACTGCACGGTAGTTCGGTGTGTTTGTACCGACTACTTATTTCGAAAAACCCGGTTTTTGGACCGGTTGCCAATTTTGATAAAAGCCGAGTAATGAATAATGCCCATTTCTTTTATTATAGATATTTCAAAAATTAAGTCGCTTTTTTTACCGTTTACCAATTTCGAAAAACCCGAAATTTTAGTACCGGTTACCAACTTCTTAAAAAGCGGATTGATAACCCATCCTAAAAACCCGGATTTTAGGAGATTCGTAGCCGGTACAAACAAACCGATTTAATTTTTTTAATCGCCGCGAAGTAATCCTTGTAGGAGTAAAGTGTCAACAAATTAGTTACTACCACTTTTTTGCATTTTTATACATTTGTCCATTTGTACGTCAGACCTAGGGCCATTGAAGCGGTATTTCCTAATAATTTTTAATTAATTAAAATTACTTCCTGCCCCACTGTGAGATGAAACATTTTCTTATTTTGAATAAAATAGTTTTCTGAGTTTTCAGTGTGGAATTTTTGCCACCCTAAGTGTTATATTGACTGTAAAAGACTCAAGATCTCAAAATAACTGCCTATAGATATCTGAAGAAACCGGTGGAAAACTGTTTGGAAAAGCCGAGTCAATCACCCTAATAGGTGGTGACACATCTGATATGTATAGTATTTTGTGCACCTTCCTACCAGTAAACTTTCTACTTGTTTACTTGCACTCGTCAATGCGGTGGCGCACAAATTGCTACCCTCAACTAAATCGCCTCTTAATCACCATTTAATTTGTCTAACTTTACGTGGCTTTAATGTTATTTTTTTGTCAGTTAATTTGTGGCTATCAAAGACATGTCAAACCACGACGAGACAAGTTAAGCTTAGTTAGCAGTGAGCACTTGTAGGCAGATTAATCGCCGATACACACACACACACACACACACACACACACACACACACACACACAGATAAAGTAAGCACAACTT